CCCAAATACCATAGCAAAGGTTTGAAAACTGAACTGACATGAGAATCCCCACTCCCAAAAGGTGAGGTACAACTTGCAGCCTGGACCTAAGCCAACTGATTGCCCACTAACACAAGCAAACAAAAATTCAATATTCTTTAGAGGATTTTTAACAGAATCCAGAATCTTCTAACGTAATATTCAAGATGTTCTGGATAGAATTCAAAATTACTGAATGCACAAAGGACAAGAAAAGTCTGACCAGTACCAGGAGAAAAGGTAATCAACAGGTGGCCCCAACTGGAATTACTAGACACAGACTTGATAACACCCATTATAACCATGAGGTAAAGATGAACATTCTTGAGATAAATAAGAGGACAAAGTTCTTGGCAGAGAAAGAAAAGCAATTTTTTTAGCTAAATGGAAAATTTTAAACTAGGAAATACAATATCTGAAATTCACAGTTCTACCAGATGTGGTCAATAGCAGAATGGAGATGACAGAGGAAAGAAAACCTGAAGACAGGTGAAGAGAAATTATACAGGGGCGCCTGGGTGGTTCAGTTGGTTACGACTCTGCCTTCGGCTCAGGTCATAATCCCAGGGTCCTGGGATCGAGCCTTGCATCCGATTCCCTGTTTGGTGGGGACCCTGCTTCTCCCTCTCCCTCTGCATGCTTGCTCTTTCTCTATTTCTCTGTCTGTCAAATAAATAAATAAAACCTTTAAAAGAGAGAGAGAAATTATACAATAAGAAGAACAGAGAGAAAAAGATTGAAAAAATTAATGTAACCTTAGGTGCTTGTCAATCTAACATTCATATCATTGAAATCTCAGAAAAAGAGAAAGATTGATTCAGAATATGTATTTGAAGAAATAATGACAGAAAACATTCCATATTTGGTGAAATGTGTCTATTTAATTTCAAGAAGCTCAGTGAATCCTATCAGGTTAAGTTTAAAAAAAAATACCCAGATATATCATAATTAAACCATAAAAACCAAAGGTAAAGAAAATGTCTTAAAAGCACATGGAAACAAATGATGACACATGACACATAGGGAAACTATGACTACTTCTTATCAGAAACCTCAGAGCCCTGAAGACAATGAGAGAATATCTTTAAAGTGCTAGAAGAAAAATTAATAAATAGATAATCATAAAAAGTACTAGAAGGACGCCTGGCTGGCTCAGTTGGTAGAACGTGCAACTCTTGATCTCGAGGTTCAAGCCCCACGTTGGGTGTAGAGATTACTTAAACATAAGAAGTGCTAGAAGGAGGGGTGCCTGGGTGGCTCAGCAGGTTAAAGCCTCTGCCTTCAGCTCAGGTCATGATCCCAGAGTCTTGGGATCGAGCCCCTCATCGGGCTCTCGCTCAGTGAGGAGCCTGCTTCCTCCTCTCTCTCTCTCTCTCTCTCTGCCTGCCTCTCTGCCTACTCGTGATCTCTGTCTATCAGATAAATAAATAAAATCTTCAAAAAAAAAGAAGAAGAAGAAGAAGAAGAAGAAGAAGAAGAAGTGCTAGAAGGAAAGAACTGTCAACTCGGATTTCTATAGCCAACAAAAACATCCTTCAAGAATGTAGGCAGAATAAAGATATTCTCAGGTGAGGGAAAACTAAGAGAATTTATCACTTGCAGACTTGTTCTAAAAGAAATGGCTAAGAAAGTTCTTTGGGATGAGGGAAGAAAGAATAAAAGAAATAATTAATATCTAGATAAATAGAGTATTGGCGGCCTCTTAAATTCTTTAAAATATGTTGAAAGCAAAAATTACATCATTGTAATATTTCAGTGGAATATATACACCGACCACAACAGAGAAGGATCAAGACACAGAACCCTATTTGATTATAAGGCTTGTATTACCCTTATTTGAAGTGGTAAAATATTAATTCTAAATACACTGTGAAAAGTTAGATATATACATTCTAATTCTTAGAGCAACTACTAAACAATACCAAGACATAGCCAAATATTCAATAAATAAATTAAGATAACTATTTCATAATAGTCAAATAATAAGAAAGAAGTTAGGAAAGAGAATAAAATAGCATATAATACATATAATAAACAAAGTACATGTTAGTCAACTATGTTGTTGTTAAGGCTTTTGGTCAACAGTAGACAAGTTTTTGGAGAGTCAAAAGTTATGCACAGATTTTTGACTATGTGGAGGGTTGGTGCCCTGAAACCCCACATTGCTCAAGAGTCAATGGTATAGAAAGAGTTAAAGCAACATGATAGGAAAAGATAAACCATGCAAACAGTAATCAAAAGAAAACTAGAGTGCCTATATTACTTTCAGACAAAGTAGACTTCAGAATAGGGCAAATTACTGGAGAAAAAGAGAGACATTATATAATGATAAAAGAATAAATTCGCTGAGAAGGCATAGTTATTAAATGAGTATGTACTTAATTGAAGAGCTCAAAAATACAGGAAGCAAAAGCTGGCAGAACTGAAGAGAAATTAAAAAAATGCATAATTATATTTGAAGATGTGATGGGACCATGACGATATCATGGGACCATTAATCCTAAAATCTTGACCACAATTCCTCTCAAGAGGGGCTATGCAGATTGGCTCTCTCTGTTTCCACAAAGAATTGGCCCTGCTCCAGAGAGCTTAAAGTGAGTGACTCCATGTCCAGAGCTGTGAAGAGGCAACCCTACCCAGATGTAGGACCACGAATATGACCGGACATCAGCTACCTGTTGAAATTTTAGAGAAAACCAGTAGTAATCTTCCAGCAATATCTCTGAGAACCCTAAGAAAATTCAAACATAACATTAAGAGTTTATGGTGGACAGGTGTTTTCGCATTCATCATCCACTCTCCCACTTCTGGTTACTGTGTCCAGTTTTGTATTAGAGAAAATACCCTTTCTCCAGCTTGAGCCATAATCATCCCAAGTCAGTAAGTACAGTCCGTCCTTCTGACCAACGTGATTGGTCAGAGATGGGCATACAACCTATCGAGAGCCAATGAGATGCAAAAATATATTTGCTGAGACTTCTGGAAAAAGAAGTTCCATGAGAACCACCAGGAAAGAGAATATGATGGAAGGATACCAGAGCTGGCAAGGTGCCAGTCCATTTGATATCATGACAAAAAGCCTAGCAGTATACTGTGTAGAGCCCAAGTGTTAAGCCTACACAGCTGAAGGCAGACTGGAAGGAAGGAGAGAAAGGGTCTTTGATATCCCTTAAGCCTCTGGTTCAAGCCTTAACTAATGACGAAATAGCTGCTCTGGTAGCTTCCATCGTGGAAGGGAATTCTGTTTTGTTCCCCCTCTCAAGTGGGGCTGGGTTTTCTGTCATTCATAACAGAGTTCTAACATGCAATTTACCCCTTCAATCCTCTCTAAACCCCATGTCTTTCCCCAAAAAATGAAAACAAAAGGCATGTGATTTAAGTGCTTCTACTTTTAATGCTGAACAGTATCTTTACTTGTAGAAAATGATGATGTGCAAATGTTGTAGAAGATGAAGCTTGGTATGTAGAAATAACAACCACTTAATGACGAGCAAGACACATACAAAAGAGAGTCATTCAGAATTAAAACTGAGAGCAAAAGAAAAATACAGAATGCTATTAACTCTGCTTTTGCTAAAAACTTTGAAAAGTGTTACTCAAGCCATTGTCTCCTGGGAGGATATTTACCACCATCAACCACCTACGCTTCTGTTTGTTTGGTGTTTTTTTGTTTTTGTTTTTGTTTCACAAATATGTGACAACTAAAAATTGTATGTATTCAGGTGTACAATGTGATGGTTTGCTGTAGATAAACATGGTGAAATATTCACCACAATCAAGCTAGCTCACATATCCATCACCTCAGATAGTTCTTTTCTTTTTCTTTTTCTTCTTTCTTTTTTAATTCTTAAAGCACAAGAACAGATGCAGAAGGCCCAGGTATTTCCAGGCCCTGTTGGTACTCAAGGAAAGAATGGTTTCCAAACTCCTTTGTGGGTTTTGCACTGCAGGCTCAAGCTACCTCCTTCAGGGAAAATTCTTTAAGCATTCTGGAAAGCACAGTCAACCCAAACCTCAGTGGGAAAGATTCCAACTATCCAGTGGAACAAGGATTAGGTGCTTATATTCAGGGAGTTCTAAAATGAAAAATGTGTTTGTAGATAAGGATTAGTTAAATGAAGAGACTGAACTGGAGTTAATTCTGGGTAGAAATGAAATTTAAGAGATTGGTCTTCATGAGGCATTTATCAAGGACCTGCCAAGGGACTCAGAGGTGAAAGAAGCACAGTCCTTTCTAGGCAGTTGTCCCTGGCCTGGTATAAGGATGTCTTTCATACCCAGCACTCTCATCCACCATAATACACAGAGAGGCACAGCGTGTGAGGAAGGTTTGCAGTAAAGAGCTATCACATCAGAGAAGCTTCCTGATTAGGTGGTTTTGAGGAACAGGGAGGATTTCAGCATGCGGAGATGGAGGTAGATTTCTGAGCTGGAGAGAAGAGCATGAAGAAAGACAGAGAGAAGCAGAAGTACACAGTAATTAGTGGTCCAGCTGGGATGGACCTAGTCACAGAATCACTTCTGAGGGAGCTCTACTGGGGAAGGCTTAACTCACCACGAAGACCACTCAGAGGCCTTCAGTTGAGCTGGGTGACAGACACTGTACCAACACTCCCAAGAGGCCATGTACTCCTAAAAAGGGGCAGGGTTTAGTGGAGGTCTACAGACCTAGGTTTGCCTTCAAACTCTGCCACTTAATACCTGTGTGAGTTTAGGCATTCACTTAACTCTCTCAGGCTGAGGACCCAAGTGTAAAATGAGGTGAATAATATCTTTTCTGTGAACCCCCCAGGATAGGCATGAACATGAGAAAAACTAGTGAACACAGAATAGCACTGTCAAATACTTTCTGGTAATTTGCTACCTCACCATACATGTGAAGCACCCCAAGAAATGTTATTAAACTTTCATTGCTACTACATAACAGACCTTTGAGGCCAGGGACAATGTCTTCTTCAGGACAGGGAACATAGTATATGATCTTTTTTGAAAAGGTACTTGATGAATGCATCAATAAATGAACAAATAATGTTCAGAGCCCTCCAACTAGATAACAAAATTAGTCTCTTAACTTCATCAAAATCTATGGGCTGTACTTTCACTTTGGGGTTGTTTGGGCTGTTGGAATCTAAGTTAGTTGTGATCAGTTGGTGTCATGGTAGAGAAGGAAGCCTGTAAAGGTGGAATCATGGACATTATCTGCATAGATCCCGTAAGTGTTCCCATCCCCATACACCTGGAGCCAGACTTGGTCGCCCACTTCCAGATGGAGGAGCACAGAGCCAGAGGCCTGGTCCACATTATTCTCCTGGTACTGGTCATAGGTGAAGAGCATCGCCTTGTCCTTCTTGTAGAGGCTGACTTTGACATCCCTCAAGTAGACTGTGATGTGGTAGGAGAAGTAGTAGAGCCCAGGAATGTTGCAATGGAATTTGCCAGTGGTGCCATCATAGTGGTTTTGCAGATTGTAGAAGATTTTGGTAAAGCGAATGGGGACATTGGGGACAGTGACCCGGCTCTCCAGTCCCACACTGAATGCTGACCGGTGTACATAGGCACTTTCTCCAGGTTCTCCTTTCCTGCCTGGGGTTCCTGGAAAGCCTCGGGGACCTTCAACCCCGGTTACTCCGGTTTCACCAGTGTCACCCTTAGGACCAACGAGACCTAGAAAATGAGAAAACCTCAGTGACCATAAGGAACAGAACTCCTGCCTTGGTTAGTTCTAACCTAAAACACTGCCCCTATGGTCCTTACCCACAACCTGCCTGACTTACAGAGCCAGGAACCAAAGGGAGCTCCCAAAGAGGTGAGTTATACCTTCTCCTTCTATATCCCCCAGCAGGCTTCCATAAATTCATCTCCAACCTTATATCTTATAAGTCTCCATCATAGACCTTCCATCCTGCCAACCCTTTATAACCCTTTTCAACCATACTCTTGCTCTTCGATCCCCTCTGTCCGGGATGCCCTCCCTCCTTTTTTTCTGTCTATCCATTCTTCAAGGCCTGACTCAAGCCCTCCTCTTCTTAAAGTCTTCATTGTTAATCCAGATCTTCACTGAGAGCATTTTCTCTCTGTTCCATACCTTGGACACTTGCCCACATTCAGTTAGGCATATTTGGAATAGACGTTCTTGTAGTAATCCTTAACAGCCTTGTGCTTTAGACGTATCTTCTTAACTACACCAAGAGTTGCCCAGGAGCAGGACTGTGAGCCATGAGGATGCGTTGAGTATGAACGTCACTGGGTGGAATGGGAATTAAGTGGAAATGAAGGGAAATACGAATGTGAAGGGACTGGGAAGAGTGATGGATGAGGCGGGATGGGAAAGGGTACAGGCAATGTGATGTTGATAGAACAGAATCAAAGGTACTGGTTTTATAGGTACGACCTATCCTCACGACCAGAAGGCCAACGCAAAATTCACTTCAGGCTGCTTATGAGTCACAGAAAAAAAAAAGAAAAAAAAAAAAAAAGCTTCCTTCCTGTGTCTAGGCCTTTGTCAATAGCTAATGCCTTTGTATAGTTCCAGAAACCCTCCTCTACCCAGGAGAAGTCTACGATGGAAGAAGCCAAAAACCTTGTTCTTACCTGGATCTCCTTTCTCACCCTTTTCGCCAGGGGTGCCATCTCTGCCATCACGGCCTGGGGTCCCATTGTGGCCAGGATGCCCTGGGATACCTGCCACCCAGCCTGTGCAGGCCCCCTTGGGTGGGGGAAGCAGGACTCCAGGCCCTTCTGTCACGGAGTTCTGGCCATGAGTAGGCAGGACCAGTAGCAGTAGAACAGCTTGTGGCAACAGCATCTTGACCCCTGGAACCCAGATACACTTAGTCAGCCATGCAAGCAGCTCCACACAGCTCACTCTGTCCGTACCTACACAGGACCTGGGCCACCTCAGCAGCATCCACTTCTGAGACCTGCTCTCTCAATGCTCACCTCTTCTAGAAGACTTGTCTATTTCCACCCACCTTGATCTCTTTCCACCCTCCAATTTGCAATAGTTAGCATTATTCTTTGTGTATAATCTCCTTAATCTCATGAACCTCATTCTAAGTTAAACACAGTTCACATGTACTTTTTTACTCCAAAGACTCACTATTTTTCATCAGTGTGTTTGTTTTTCAGAGTTACACAAAGCCTCTAGAACTGGGTTTGGCTTCAGGATACAGCTTCTCTGTGAGGGATGCAGGAAAGCCTCTGATTGGCAATTTTACCCCCAAGATGTGCATGGTGTCTAGAATCTCGCCTCTATGCCTCATCACCTGGGCTCTATAGTGCCCTCTCAATGAGACAAAACCAACTCACCATTCATCCATTCATTTATTCATATATGTTCATCTTTCATATATATATAGATGTAGAAAACACACACATACACACACATGCATTCAATAACATTAGTAACATAAACACTTTGGAAACTACAGAAAACAAAAGGATACCCAGTCCCAAGTCTTTCTCTGTTTATTTTTAAACATAATGAAAAACACACTTTGCATAGAAATTTTATTCCCCTATTTTTGCTTTGTCACTTTTTAGTTCTCATAATCATCATTTTAAATATGTGTGTGCTAATTCATCAAGTGGACATAGTCAAAATATATTTAACCATTTCTATTTTGTTGAACTTTTAGCTTAGTTTGACTTTAAAGTATTATTTTAAAATCCATAACTAATATCCTTAGTCATATAGCTTATCCCCGAATTATATTCCATTATGATATATTCCCAGAAGTAAAATTATTGGGCCAAATGTCTGAACATTTTTAAGTTCTGGATGTGTATTTCCAAACTGTAGTTTGTTACACTGTTACTAGGTCTAGTTTGTTACTAATCTGTTAGTTACACTGTTATACTGTTACTAGTTTGTTACTAGTAGTGTGTTTGTAAGTGTGTAAGGACCCTATTAGCTACTCCCACCAGCAAAATTTTAAAAACCTATTTTTGCTGTTGTTAGTTTAGTGAACAAAAGAAATGACACCTTGGATGTTAATCAACAGTGAGTTGTACACTTTATTAAAGGCCTATTTCCTAACTTAATTTCTTCATGATACATCCATTAGTAGTTTTGTCACTTAATTTATTAGATACACAATGTACTTTTGAATCAATTTGTGTGAGCTCTTTACGCGGACATTTTATCATCTATGTCATGACTATTTTCTCTGGTGATTATTCTGTAGATTATTCTTTTGTTTACCCTAATTTTTTAAAAAATGTTTTATTTATTTATGAGATAGGTAGAGAGAGGGAGAGCAGAGAGCACAAGCAGGAAGATGGGGAGAGGATAGAGGGAGAGGCAGAAGCAAATGCCCCACTGAGCAGGGACCCTGCCACACAGGGCTTGATCCACGGACCCTAGGATCATGACCTGAGCCGAAGGCAGACACTTAACCCACTGAGCCCTCCAGGTGCCCCAGTTTACCCTGATTTTTAAATGACAGAAGTTTTAGTTTTTATACTCTGTTGATATTTTTCTTTGCTTCTAAGTTTTAAACAGTTCCTAGCCCTTCTAGGTCTTGGTAAATATTCTATTTTATTATCTTCTGTTGTTTGATAGATTTTAAATTTCACTCTTTATTTCATCTTCAATATTTTGTTTTGGTGTAAACTGTGCTCTAAAATACTCAAATGATTTCTCTAGCTGTTTAAAGACACCTTTAGTTAATCTCTCCCTTCCATTGCGCTTCTGCATCATTTAGGAAATACCAAGTTTTAACATGATCTTGTAAGTAAAGTGAGAACTGAGAATGAGATAGACTGATAGAAGAAGGGGCAGAGAGGACCCAGAGCAACAGGCACTGCCTGTTGGTGGTGGTGACTCTCTGGCAGAGGCGCCTCTTACCATCTACATGTACCTTTGTCGCCCTCTACTGGATTTCAAGGGCTCAGGAGGGTGACGTCAACAGGTGGGGGAAATGAGACACAGTCTTAGGCTTGGCTTGTCCAGAAATAAGAAAGAGGTGAGTTAGATTAGAAACCAAGAAGGAGAAACCAGTCAAGCCCTTTTCATATTTAGGAAAAATATTTGTTCTGAGGCTTTTAAGACATATGCATTCAAAGTTTCTCACTATTTGTCACCTCACCTTGCTCCTGTTTCCGAGGGTTAGCATTACAAGTCCCAAGAAGACCTCTGAGAGGTATGCTCGCTTTCTCCCAAAATGAGGAGAGGGCAGAATCTATGAGGCTGTGCTCTTTTCCACAGGGAGATAGGAAGAGAGTCCAGAACATAAGAACTGGGGGGATAGTTACAGAGGGACCCCAAAATAGAAGGAGATTGGGGCTTTCTCCAAATTGTTGGGGGAAGTGAGAAGTCAAAAGGTCTCTGGAGTTCTGTGGTTCCTCCTCCTCTTTTAAAAGTCAAGATTCTTTTCTCCCAGCCCAAGGGAAGGCATTTCTGTCCTCAGCACTTTGGTATTATGGATAGATTTCTCCACTGACAGGGACAACAATTCTGGGTTCCCTGACAGTGGCATGGGGTGGAGGTACTGAGAAGAGGGGGTGGGGGGAAGACGGGTACACAATCCTCAGAAGTTTCTGATGCTAAGAACAGATTCTGATTGCAGAAGAAAATTGTCTTCTAACCTAGTTCTGGGTGAAAAAATCAGCAATGGATAACAACAGAAGGTCAGCGCAGAGGCGCCACTTACCAAAAAAATGTATTCCAAAATTACTTGTGCTCTTTGTTTGGATAGGGCAACTGTTACACTTTGATTTGGAAAGTCTTCTGTTTCTACATGGGAAAACATTATTACATGAAACTGTAATCCAAGACTCAACTGTGGCTGTAAAGAGAACTTTTATATGGCTCCTGAAGCTAAACCCCAAGTTCCACTCATAATTCTATTTCTGCCGAGCTCCATTTGTAAAGTCCTTACCTCACTTAATGTCTCATTTAATCCTCACAACCATTTTGAGAGACAGTGTGAAGCAGAACAGGATCACATGCTCTATGATCTTGGTGCTTGGGGGAAACTAATTTGTTCTTATCTGTAACATGCATCAGTCATGCATTTGTTGGAGGAATAAGTGGCGTAATCCATGTAAGTACTTAGAACAGTGCATGACACATGTAAGTGCTTAACAAATGTTAGCGCCGACTGTACCCATTTAAGAGGAGGAAAGTGAATTTCAGGAAAGTTATGTGACTCATCCTAGATCCTAGAGGGTTTTTTTGTTTTTGTTTTTGTTTTTTAGTGAGATCTTTATTTATTTATTTTTGCAAGGGAGAGAGAAAGAACGAGCAGGGGGAGAGGCAGTGGAAGATGCAATCTCCCCACTGAGCCAGGAGCCCGACTGATCCCAGAACCCCGGGATCATGGCCTGAGCTGAGAGCAGATGCTTAATCAACTGAGCCACCCAGGCGCCCAATCCTAGAGCTTTTTAATGTAAAAGAGCTGGATATCAAATTCTGGTCTTCCAAAGTCCAAAAATGGACTCTTTAAGGCATAGTTCAGAGGAGGGGGGCGAAGCATCAGGATCACACATCTGTCTTTTCATGTTCCACTCCATGGGATGGGGGACATAAGAGAAAGTAGCTGGAGAAGCCCTCTAAATCATGAAGCAGGTGCCCTGGCTTCTAGTCTAGGCTCTGCCACGAACATGCTAGGTGACTTACGTGTCTCCACCTTATCTCCCGGATCTCCTGCTCTTTGCCTGCAAATGTGATTATTAATATTAACCCTTACCTGGCCTATTTCACGATCTTATTGTGAGAATCAGATGAGTAAAAGTCACACATGTGAGTGAAGAGAAGGGAAACGAGCGAATATTTATGGACCACCTGTTACAGATCCCCACTCTACATCCACCTGCCCTTCATCTCATTTCACTCCTACTACTCCAGCAGGTGGGACCCAACTCCCACAAGAGGAATCCCAGGACCAGAGCCAGTTAGTAACTTCCACCCACCCATAACAAAGAAAAGCATGCAGAGGCACAATTTAAAATCCGAAGCCCTAGTTCTTTGTACTGAACTGGCTTTCATGATACACTGGGTATAGGCATGGATTCGTTCATTTTTAAAAATCATATGAGGGGAAGCCCACGATGTCCTCTGGATCCTAAAGGACTGTACTATGATCTCGCATTTTCATGTGTTAAAATATATAAGAAATTCCACTTTGACCTGCTGGAATTTCAGAAACAACAGCAGAATCTTGTGAAATGCAAGATGGGGTCTCCTTTGGGACTGGCAAGAAACAGAGCATTAGGTGGGGGAAAGGCCACCAAATCTGGTGCCAACACTTCCAGCAGGAAAGGGCACTAAAGCACAGATCACTAAGTCCCTGAGAGCCAGAATGGACCCCGAAATTATCTCAACCCTGCCCTGCCTTTACAAATGGAAGGTAAAGGAGAAAGAAGATGTGTTTATTAGATCCTCATGGAGGCCAGCTCCCACACTGGGAGATTTTACCCATTATTTATTTCATCTATTTCTTATTTTAATCTTTACAAGAACTCCATGAAGCAAGGAATATAATCCCAACATTAAAGATGGGGAAAGTGAGAGATTAAGGACATGACCCCTGAGCCATTCCTGTTCTGACTTCCAACCCGGTGAGCTTCCCATCACATTACATGGCCTCTAAAAAGCCTCAGACTCAACTTCCTAACCCCCTAAATGTTATCACAAAGGTGAGGGATGTGAGAACACTGAAATTGGCAAGGGTACGTTGGAGTAGAAATTGCATAAGGTACTTTCAAATGCTTATTTCATGTAAATTTCCCCCATAGTCCTGCTCTTGATTCCACTATAGAGAAGAATCCGAGACTTGAAGAGACCAAGGTGCTGGTTTAAGATCATGTGACTCTTAGAAATGTTGAGTGGGCTGGGAAGGGAAGAAAAGAAAGAAAGAAAGAAAGAAAGAAAGAAAGAAAGAAAGAAAGAAAGAAAGAAAGAAAGAAAGAAAGAGAAAGAAAGAAAGAAAGAAAGAAAGAAAGGAATCATGCAACTCTTGTATGGGTTCTATGAAACTGCCATTTTTAAAGGTTAAAAATGGTAGAATATTGGCAGTTTCACATGGTTCAACCTAATGATGAATGACAGAATCAGGAATCAACTCAATTCTGTCTGGCTTTCAGGAGGATTATCTGAAAACCTTCACTCAAGAGAGCTGTCAGCATCCCCATGCTCAACACACACGCGCGCGCGCTTCAAATCTCAAGGAACTAGTAAAACAGAACCTTGCATTGTTTAGGATCAGTATCTCTTCATGTGAAAAAATTCTTATTGAAAATTCTACTCTCCAAAGCTTCTACCTCCTGACCTCAGCCAAGTGGGGCCATTAATTTCCTGTTTTGACAAAAAGTTGGTGGAAAGTTTGTCCCCACACCCACCTCAGAAAGACAAGGAGCAAGTCCTGTGTCTCTCTTTACAGCTCCTCAGGAACTAAGGGAGGGAGGCAACAAGGACTACCAGTTGAGCTGTTCGTGCTTTCTCCGCTTCAGGAACAAAGCTGACCCCTCGTGCTCCTTGCGGCACATTCTACCAGCACAAAGGGCTCCCAGGCTTCCCCACTTTCTCCGGAGGAGCTCACCTTTCCGCTAATGGGTGGAGTCACCAGGAGTGAGGTGGCTGCATCCCTATGAAGCTTGATCTGAAAACCAGAACCTCTCTAGACCGGGGACCCACACCCACTGACACAGGAGTGCTGGGCTGATCTCTAAAATCTTTCCCACTCTGACCTCTGCCTCTACACTGAAAACAACCAGATGCCTCAGGCGCAGCGCTCACCAGGGTGAGCAAGACAGAGCAGACCCACTGGTTTCTGACAGAAAGCCATGCAGACCCACTGGTTTCTGACAGAAAATGTCGTCTAAAAATAAGATTTTTATAAGTTTTCAGTATATCCCAAGCTCACTTTATCTCATTTGAATATCTCAATCATCCTGTGAAATAACCTCACATCAGTGCAGATATCCCCGTATTTACAGATACCTTCAGATCTTTGTATCTCACTAACTCCACCCAGTGTCTGGCCTTATCGAATCTGTTCGATCAATATTTGCTGAGAGGAATCCAGTGGTGGAGCTGGGTTCCAGACTCAGCCTGAGGTTAGAGCTCAGTCTGTCCCTCAGCTGCCTTACCCTATGCTTCTTTCTTTGCCTACCTGGTCAAGCTAGAAGTGAATTATTTCCTTCTCTTCTTATTTAATTAAACTCTATAGCTTGGCCATCTTTCCCTCCTCATCGATCCCAACCTTTTCTCTGCATAGGCATCTGGCCACAGAGTGAATTGGGCAAAATTCAAGATGCCCCAGGCATTTTGATCAGAGGAACAGCTCATTTTCTCTTTGAGCTGTGGAAGAATCAAGGAAGAAGCCTGAGGTCTTTCTACATCCACCAGGGCTGCTCTGGCCAGAGTTTTGCCTGTACCCATCTGTACCAGCTATGACAAGAGAGCCTGTGCAAACCCCAGCCAGAGGCTCCATTGCAAGACAGCCACCCCCACCCCCCAGCGTGGGACTGTAATCAACTTGTTCTTACCCTCAAGTGTAGAATCGGACCCACAAAGTGCAGTCAGGATGGAAATGAGATGATCCAGCCTCAGCAGCCTGATACACAGGGGGACAGGCCATCCCCACCCCACAGTTGTCCCTTCCTATTGGCCAACCCTAACCCTGTGAGGGCCAGAGGCCAGTGGGCAGGAGCCCTGTTCCTGGCAACTGCATCAGGTCTCCACTCTGGGGAACCTGCTGCAACACCCCATGGGCTTGGGAAGCCAAGTGGGTCCTCAGTCACAGCATCCACATTCCCTTGGCTCTTAGGTTTGCATCCTACAACAGCAAGAGAAGATGGGGCAAGGGTGAAGCCCAGAAAAAGGAAAACAAGCCATCTCTGCATCTGAGGGAGAAGCTTCCTCCTGTAAAATGAATTGTCCAGTGGTGCAGGAGACCCCCCCTCTTTTCCCCCATAGATCTGCTGTCATAAGTCAGGAACACTCATGACCATCACCACTGTGCTCCTGCTCGCTATGCATGACAAAGCATGAGACTGTGTGGTCCAGACAGAGCACTTCAGAAAGGGGAATAGTCAGAGGAGTGGCAATAAAACAAGAACTAGAACACATCCTCCACACTCTGGCCTGGACCCCAAATTTGAGGAGGACTTTTGTGTTATTCTGAGAACCAAGGCGAAAGAAAGTTCCTGGGGTGATGTGGGGCAGAGCCAGAGTAAGACCTTTAGAGCCCCTGCATTCCAAAAAGTTATGAAGCACCCAACCCTATGTGATTCAAATTCTACATAACAGAAAATGTCCATAAAATGTGATACTAGAACACCATCTCTCAAGGTTTTCTGAATCCAAAATTCTGAATAAGGTTTTGAAAACTAACTTTTTGTGAGTATGTGAGCCCTCATTTTGTCAGTCCCTTAAGCATATTGCCTACTCTACCTAGTGGGGAACCCAACTCTGGCCTGGAGCGGCTCGGAGGACCAGTGGCTGCCACCCACGTAGGTGTTCCTAGAAGGCTAAGGTTTGAAATGGCAACTTTCATCACCTTGGGCTCTTTCTTGGCAAACCAATGTTCTGTTTTTGAAACACAGGATCAGAGCTGGTTCCTGCAAGCCACAAATTCTGAGGCATTAAATCATGACCCCAGTAAGAGCTCAAGATCCAAGCAACAACTTCCATAAGACATTCAGAAACAGAATGTTCTCAGGCAGAGGCTGGGCAAGTGTGTGTCTGCCCCCAAACATGCTGGCCATGCGGAACCCAGAAGTCCAGAGCAAGGTAAAGTAAAAGTCTTGTCTAAGGCCTTGGCCTTCAGGTAACATGCAGACTTTCTAGAGAAGTCACATTAGGCCTTTGAGATTGGAGTCATGAATCCCTTACCTAGGGCCCAAGAGGCCAGGGAAAACAAGACTTAATATAGTTTACCAGATAAACTATACTGTTGTGTTGTATATATGTGTTGTATCCCCTGGCCCCTAGAATATGATCTCGTATAAGCTGGGCAATAAAAAATGTTGAATCAATAAATAGGTAAGTGATCATATTTAATCTCCCCTTGAAGATAGCTACAGCTGTCTTCTTTTTTTTTTTTTTTTTAATTTGACAGAGATCACAAGTAGGCAGAGAGGCAGGCAGAGAGAGAGGAAGGGAAGCAGGCTCCCTGCTGCTGAGCAGAGAGCCCAATGCGGGGCTCGATCCCAGGACCCTGGGATCATGACCTGAGCCGAAGGCAGAGGCTTCAACCCACTGAGCCACCCAGGCGCCCCGCTACAGCTGTCTTCTATTTTACAAATAAAGCATCTGGAGTTCAGTGAGGCTAAGTGACTTGTCCAAGGCACAGATCTAAGATACAAACCCAGATCTGACTACAAATCTAGTATGCTTTCTAATACCTCATGTCTCTCACTTCTCCTGATGGAGTAGGAGACCCTAAGATTCATGTTTGCACTCCAGCATAGCTTTAGGGTTGGCAAAAAAAAAAAAAAAAAAAGTATTTTCTCCTGATTTTATGGGAACGCAGCTGCTTACAGCAGGCTTTAACTGTTGTGCAAGGTGGAATGACTTTAGCCCCCAAAACACACCAAGACTGGGCTGGGTCTGGTTGTCAGCCAGCAACATTGTGAAAGCCTGTCATTTTGAGACCTCAGGGAAATTTGCCATCTGCCACGAAGGTCACTGTGTGGAAAGAGGCAGTTCTGTGGCATACTGGCTTGGAGACTGTCACTCAAGAGCATTCAGCCAGGAATGCCTTGAAGCTCGTCTTTTTTCCCAGGACAGAGCTGTTACTACCTAGAGTGAAATATTCAAATAAATGTGATCATTTCCTCCAGGGTATGATAGCTGCAGTTCAATCCCCTGTGAGCTGGGGAATTGAGGTATTAAACCAGCAGGCCACATGACTAAGTCTCCTGTAAGTCTGGCTAAATAGTGCCATATATTTTTGCTTAATTGTGATTTTTAAAACATAATCTTAATTGAAATAATGAAGCATAATCACTAGGTCTTGAAAAATAATCCAAAATATTGGAGCAAGATAGCAGAGTAAGGACACCCTACAGCTCCCAAATCCCTACAAATGACAAGAAAGGAAAACATTCTTGGTTGTAAAAGCAAAAAGACTTGGCTACAATTTCACTTTATCCAAGCAACCTCAGATACTAATTTAAGTCTCTCTTTTGCCACTCATACTTTGGACTACCAGTAAGGCCCTTCCATCGGCAAGGAGGCCAGTTCTGATAAGGAATGCTAGTTTCCTATCTTTGAGAACCTGTGCCGTGGAACCACACCTGGTAACAAATGCTGTTTTAGTCAAAGGATTTCCCACAATAATTTTGGAATTGCTGGAGAAGCACAGCAAAGGAAATGGTGTTGCCCAGAGATGAGGAACCACCTCTGTCACACAGCCACATCCTGTAAGCCTACACTCAGTGTCTGTACTGCTAGAGGTTTCACAGATGTACTGAACAGCCCCCAGGGATGCTGACACTGCCAGGGACACGGCCAGAAACACTAGAGCTTCTCCCTTTTACCCCTTTCAATCTTACCCAACTGTCTCCCCTCTGCAGAATCTCACTGGGGCCCATCCAGCAAGAGAGTCTGGGATATGTCATTTCAGACATACAGCTTCAGGGATAAAGGCGGTTACTTAAAAGTGGATATGGAGCTAAGTACCAACAGACATAATCTGACACAGGTCACATCTTCAACAAATAGAAGAACTTACACCCAAGGAAACAAAACTAGTAGCAGCAAAAGGGGGTAGAACTTAAGAATAATTGTTACAGTTGGAGAGATGACAGGAAATGGCATACATAAACATAATTTGTGAATATTCTGCCTTGGTAGGAGGTGAAAATAATTTTCTCTTCCTTAAGTCACCAAGATTGTGGTGATTTGTTATGGCACCTCTAGGAAACTAATATGGGGAAGTAGAGCTAGAGAAAGAGTTTTCACAAATGACACCAAAGACATGATTCATTAAAGAAAACAATGGAAATTGAGAGTCTACCAAAATTAAAATGTTTGCTCTGTGAAAAACCCTGTTAAGAGGATAAAAAAAACAAGGTACAAACTGAAACAGTTTGCAATATTTGCAAACCATATATCTGACAAAGGATTTGAATCTAGATTGCATAAAGAAATCTCAAAACTAAACCAAAAAAATCCAATTAGAAAATGGGCAACAGACATGAAAAAATATTTCATAAAACAAGATACATGGGTGGCAAATAAACACTTGTAAAGATGTTCAACATTATTAGCTACTAGGGAAGAGCAAATTGAAAGCACCAATGAGATATCCCTAATACCAACTAGGATGACTAAAATCAACAATAGTAAGAAATACTATAATGGTGGATAGATATTATCCATTTGTAAAAACTCATAGAATGTACAACACAAAGAGTGAACTCTGATATAGACTATGGACTTTGGGTGATTATTTTTTAAAGATGAGAAAAATAAAGAGCACAAAGTTTTTTAAAGATCAAAAAATAGTGGGAATACTAACTTTGGGAAAGGACATGATGAAAATAGATCACTCATAATCTGCCAATAGAAATGGAAAATGGTACAGCCACTCTGGAAAATAGTTTAGCAGTTTAGCAGTTTCTTAAAAAATTAAACAGCAGTCACTCCTGTGCATTCATCCCCCCAAAATACCTATACCTAAAAACTTGACTGTCCCTGAAACATATACATCTTTGCTTATTTGTGTGAGTAAATTTTTAGGATAAATGTGTAGATGTGGAATTGCAGGATAAAGATGTATGCACATCTTAACTTCTGATAGCTGTAAACTGACTTCCAAAAATTCAATAGTGATTTATACTCCCAATATGGTATGAGTACCTGTTTCCTATACCATTTATGAATATTGGATACTGTCAAACATTTAAAATATTTTATTTTCCAGGGGTGCCTGCGTGGCTCAGTTGGTTAAGCATCTAACTCTCAATTTTGTCTCAGGTGATAACCTTAGGGTTGTGAGACCGAACCCCATGTCCGGCTCCTCACAGGGAATGGAGGCTGCTTAAGATATTCTCTCTCTTGGGGCACCTGGGTGGCTCAGTTGGTTAAAGCATCTGCTTTTGGCTCAGGTGATGATCTCAGGGTCCTGGGATTGAGCCCCAAGTTGGGCTCTGAGAAGGCAGCCTGCTTCTCCCTCTCCCCTGCCCCTGTTCATGCGCGCTCTCTCTCTCTCTATCAAATAAATAAATAAATAAATAAAATCTTAAAAAAAAGAAACATGCACTTAAAAAAAAGATATTCTCTCTGTCTCATTCTCTCTCCCTCACTAAAACATAAAAATATATATTCTAAATAGATAAATAAATATTTGACACCCTAATAGATTTTTAGAATTATCCTAATTTATATCTCTCTGATTATGTGTAAGATATATTTTTACATATTTATTGGTTATTTGTATTTCTTTTACTGTGTATTATTTGTGTTGTGTTCAACTCATGTGTTTATTTCCTTTGTCCGTTCTTTCTTATTGAGTTATTTTTATTAACTTTTGAAAGGTCTTTGTATATCAAGGAAATTAGTCCTTTGTTATATGTTTTGAAAGTGTATTTATCTTTTGCCTTTAAAAAATATGTTATACAAAAATTTTTGCTTCCTGTTTAACCTA